GGGCGCCCCAGAAGGCCTTGGGGAAAGCAGCTGCGCCTTCTCCCTGTGTTTTGGTTTCAGTCTCTCTCAGCCTGCACACTCTCCCTTTTTCTGGTCCGATTTCTTTTTTATTTACGGAGAGCACAGGGGCGAGTGGAAGTTCTCCTCCTTGGCCATACACACGAGCGGGGCTATGAATAGAAAGAGACCAAGAAAGGGAGCTCGGAAAGTGTCGATGCCAGCAGCACTTCCAGGGCAGGGACCTGGCGCCCAGGGGGCCGCCACCCCGGCCACCCCTTCGTCCTGGGGCTGCGGCTCTCAGGAGCACTCCCTCCAGCCCCCAGCGAAGTCGGCTGCCTCCCTGGGCCCACACCCAGCCACGCAAGCTCCATTAACAGTGGCAAGGGATGCCAACGCAATGCAGCTCGGCTGGAGAAACTGCAACAGTTTATGAAAATAGCCTCCTGTCACAGCGCTCCACTCCGCTGACAAGCACTCCGTGCAGCCACAAACACAACAGCCAGCCCCAGAGAAGTGACAAAGGCAGGAAGATGGACACGACTTCCCAACACAGTCGCCGAGTCCTACGGACACCTCCCCCCACCACCCAGATGCTCAATTCTTTGCTTTTCCAGCTCTGTCCCCTCCACTAGACCCATGTTTAGTGTTTCTTGGTTGGAGGAGTGGAACACTTACCTGTCCCCCAATTCAGTTTATACTAAAGGGCCTGAACCATATGGAGCAAGGTGCAAGAGCATAGAGTAAGAAATCTACAAGACGGAGAGAGGGCTAAAAAAGGAAACAACAGCACAGCAAGGAAAGGCTCCGGCAGGAAACGTGAGACAACGTTGGGGAAACCGAGTCACAGATCAGAGGCTGACAGGGAACTCCTGCCCTCCCCCCCCCCAGCTCTCCTCCCTCCTCCCAGGCAGGAAGGTCAGAAGGAGGGAGTCAGAGGCTCCCAGGGAGGGACGATTGAGCAGCCCTGCCATGGTAGGCCCTGGAGAAGCAGTCAGGAGGAGACCGTTATTAAAGGAAGAGCAGAGAAGGAGAACACGGAGAGGGAGAGACTGTCCCTGCTCTAAACCATCCCCATAGCTGCCCCTTCCCAAGGTGAGGCTCAGCCCTCGGCCGGCCATGGAGAAGAAGGGTTGCTGCTCACTCGGGCCCCTTTCTTCCCCACCTGAAACCCTGTGTCTGCCCAAAGGTTCCCGGGGGAAGAGCAGGGTGGGGTGGGGACAAACAAGTAGCCCCTAGACTTCCGCTGAGCCCTGACAATGGGAAAGGTGCCGCCCAGCACCTGCAACCTCAGTCTGGGCCCTGAATGGTGTGACAGGAGCTCTGTGGTGGCTGACCCCGGCTGCCAGGAAGAGGTGAGAGGGCAGGAGGCAGGCCTCGTTGCCAACAGGCCCCTGGGGTTGGCATTCAATAATTAACATCCTGTTAATAACCAGCTTTGGTCCAATTAGCCAAAGATGTTAGCCGGGTGACATAAGATACTCTCTCTACCTCGAGAGAAGCAACCTTATGTTCTAAAGTCAAGATGAGATGGTAGAAACTACAAGTGAGTTTGTGTTTGTCATGGGGGTGTTTTCTGGTATTTTGATTTACACTAAATATTAGGCACTAGACAGAAAATGGCCAACGTGAGCCTCCTGGAGGATTCTGGCATGTTCAGTCTCACAGACCACAGTGCCGGGTGGAGGAGACACGCGGAACATGGTTGTTTCTGAATCTGGTGGTACAACTGGGTAGGTGGTAGGGAGATGGCAGATGGACGGATCCACAGAGAAGTTGGGGAGGAGATCCATGATTCGCTCCTGGCTGGAGGGAGGGGTCAAAGGTTGATGGAGAGATGGGACATAGAAGTGGCTCCAGAGGGCCAGTGGGGGGTCCCAGGGGAGCCGCAGGGACCCACACAAAGCCCACGGCGCCCCTTCAAGGCTCCTTAACCCGAGGAGCAGCAGGCCCCTCCCAGGGAAGTAACACGGAGGGAGAACAATCGTCAATTGTCCTTCTGCCAGTGGCCTTAACCTTGAAGGTGGGCAGAGAGGATTCCCAGGCGGTGCTCTTCCCTCACCCGGTTCCCCCCAGCGGGGAAGAGCAGCCAGGGTCTTCCGGACGCTGGGGGAGGGAGGGCAGAGGGCTCCCTCTCTCTCCTGTGGGCACACACTCGGAGAATCTCATTCGGGTTCCATTAGAAGCACTGGGCACACCCCTCCCCCTACCGCTGCAGCCCTCCCACCCCCCATGCCACTGGTGGCTGCTTTGGGCCCTGGACACGCCCCTCAGGAGCGCCAGACAAAAGGGGACTGTCCCCCTTTTGTTAAGAGAGTGGAGGCTCCTGTTGGAAGATTACCTGTCCCAGACCCAGACTCCTTCCCTTCTCCCCTCCTGCGGCCCCTTCCCCCTGCAGGGAGCTCAGGCTCTCAGTACCCCCACCTGAGCCAAGACCAAAAAAAAAAAAAAGCCTCCAAGGAGTCGAGGCTTCTCCAGGAGTTCAAGGGTTCAGGGGATGGAGGGAGCAGGGGAACAGCCAGGCCTTGGAGGAGGAGAGGGGAAGGGGGGATGGAATGAGAGGAAACAACCTAAAGCCGAGGGGAGGCGAAGCCAGTGATGCTGGCAAGAATAGTGTGCGAAAAAGAAAATTAACCGCGGCAAGCGGAGAATATACAGGAGAAGCGGGGATATCTGGGGGTATTTTCCCCATTTAAACGGAAAACCAGGAAGCCAGAGGCGAGACGTTACACATTCGCATGGGCTTTGGTTTGCGGAAAGCAAATGTTCTGCCTCTGGGAGAGAGAGGCCTCTCTTGTCATTGTCCAGTATATAGAGTTTAATTTAAAAAAAACACAGCAACGGTTTCAGTAAAACATTTCTAAAATAATGCCCATGCTGGTTTCAGCCATTCCTAGGAGAAATGGGCCCCAGGAAGAAAAGGACTGAGCAGGCCCAGGAAACCAAACCTAGAGAGAGAGAGAGAGAGAAGCTGGGCCCAAAACTGCAAAGAGAGAGAAGCACGAAGATGGAGGGGGAAATGAGCAAGGAGCAAAGACAAGGGCTCCGGAC